ACACTGATAAAAGCAGTTAAAGTTGTTATATACAATAGATTCTTTTTAACTGTCTCCGTAACGGTGCAACCCACTGACAGTGCACCATTATTAGTTTTTATATATTCCCTGGCGACACTCAGCCGGACATGCTTGCTGGTTTTAGGAGCTTTTTGTTGTATTTCTAGTTTTTCAGTAGGATGCTGTTATTTCAGTTGATTTGGTTTCACATTTGCACTGTAGTGTCTTATATTGAGAGCTAAAATCTGCCGTACGGTTTATGCACATGGTGACAGTCTTGGAAGTTGACTAACTGTCATATATGGAAAGAGTAATGTTTGTCTCAAATTTCAGATCCACATCTACAGCCTGGAGATGCGCAAACCGACAGTTTCTGTGGGCAACTCACCGGGAGATTTCACTTGCATCAACTTGAGAGACAGCTCTCCTCATCTGCTGGTGTGTGGGAACAAAGACAGGAGGTAGGACACAAAAACACACATACAGATGTAAATATACAAAAATTGTGCATAATATCAGAAACCTGAGCCAAGAATGCAAGCTAAAAGGGAGTGTGCCTGTGAAATTGTTTTCTCAAAGCGACACCTGATGATGAAGAAGACTGGAACACTAAGGTTACTTGAAGTGGATAACAGATGTTTTGAAAATGTGTGAAAGACGAGGCTTGATTAAATTTGTGAATTTTTTTAAGAGTACAACCTTTTATGTTGAAAAACAAGGCTTTGAAAAGCTTTTTGAGCTGAAAATGAATTCATTAACAGTTTTTTAGAAGAGTGATGTTCTGTTCTTTGTCTTAAATAGACAAATATCTCGCTTTTCATTGTCTTTCTCCTCCAGTACCTGGGATACTATAGAAGAGAAAAATTTGGCTATCTTGATTCTCTTCATTCATGTAGACACACTTACCACATTGCTAACCTGGCTCTCCAGTTGAGAAAAGGACACATAAAAGAGCCATTCTCTACTTGTTAGTGGTGCTACAGTGCATGAGCTGGCAGGAAAGAAAAAAATCCCTGGCGTGTCTTTGTCCAAAGCTGCCCCCGCTGTTTCTATTCAGCACCAAATCCATCTGGCTGTTAAGTAGTTGGCTGACAGCGAAAGACAGACCACATCGTATTGTTTAGTTTTTAGTTTTTTTCCCCTCTTCTTACTAGTTATGACTCCTGACATTCATACAAAAGCAGGAAATGCTCCACTAAAGATGTTTTGTCAAGTGTCACAGAATTGTGATTTTCATAGTAATATTCAACAGCACCCTTTGAATGAATAATTCAGTGATTTCCTCTTGGACTTTCTGATCAGATTTTGTCCAGAGAGGTACACACACCAGGTTGGCTCTTCCACTTTGGCCCCAGCTGATGCAGCGCGCAGCCGAGGACAAATGGAAATTGGGAAACTGAGGGACAGTCTGAAATCTTGGCCCTTCAACAGGGTGGCTTAAGGCCAGAGCCTAATGCATCCCTTCTTTTTGTCCAAATGAGTTTTGTCCCTTTGTTTTTTGTGAGATCCAAGGAGCAAATGAGGAGTCCAAATGATGGCTGTCTGGAAAAACCTTGCCATATTTGTGTAAACAGGAACAATGTAACAAAGGGAAATATTACATATATTTAGAAATTGAAGAAATAATGAGTACTGTTACCATTAAGAAGGACTGCACATATTGTGTTCAGCTTTTAGACTGTTTTACTGGCAAACTTATCCTTCCATCAAATGTTTTGTGGCACGGCTTCATGAACAGCTATGCCAGTTTGAAGTTTGATAGGTTGTACATGGGCTTATCATGCTGACCTACAGACCAGGAACATCTCTGACATACAGTGAAACAGTTATGGTTTTATTGAATGGTTTGGACCAAAATATTTCACAGACACTGTTGTGACCAGACGTTTACATACGCTTGTAATGATTTCTTTAAACTGTTGATTTTCCAGGGTAGAGCGATTGTACAGCATGCATCTTTAATAATCTTTTAAAAAAATGAAGACTTGGGTGTATAAGTTTGAATTTTGAATATTTTGGATTTTCTCTTTTGCAAACGCGGTCAAAATTATCCATGTACTTAAATACATATATTCACTTAAATCTTTTAAGTGGGTCTGAAGGTTCCACAATGTCTTTTAACTTGACACGGCTAAGTCCTTTTAACCTCATCTTAGTGATCATAATTGACCACTAACATCTGTATATTATTTATTTCTGGGGAGAAGCATTTTTTTAAGTAATATTGAAAGAAAATACATTGTATATTGTATAATATAAATAATGAGGACAAAGGGAAAGTCCAAGGAAGGTCTAAGAAGAAGAACTGTAGATATACAAGTTAGGAATGTTTTAGAATAGACTAAACAGGATAACACTAAGCTAATGTAATGACCCGCCCAAAGCTCTGACCTCAACCCTACTGATATTTTTGGACTGTGCTTAAAAGTCAAGTCTATGCGAGGAAACCAACCAATTTAAATAACCTCTTGCAGTTCTACCAAGAGTGGTGAAGGATCCAGCCTGAATTATGAATGAAGGAGCTTGTTGATCACTACCAAAATCACCTGGTCAAGATGCAACTTGCTACAGGACATATACTTGAGCAAGTATAGTTTAGACAGTATGTGGATTACAGATGCAGAATGCACTAAAAGCTCCAAATTACCACGACATTCATGCCCATGATGAGTGCTTGTAAACTTCTGACCAAAACTGTATTTACTTTCTTTTGTGGTCCTTGAACTTTTCTTCTAGAGAAATAATGCGGTTGATATTTGTGGTTTTCAATGAAATATTTTTCATTTGGCATTAAATTTCAAACCGCCATTTGTTTCCCACAAGAATAAACAAATAAATAAATCCTAATAGGATTAACATCACTCGCAGCTATACTTTGTGCTAATTAGAAAATGCTAGCATGCTTAGTCTCGAAACAAAAGAAAGAAATTTGATGTCCTTACGTCATGTCTGGGCTCGCCTCTGAAACAGAATGCAATCACTTATTTAGCCTTTTTTCCATCAATCTTTCTGAAAAAATGAATGTCCCTGTGTTTTCCATAATCAAAGACTAATGGACATCAACAACAGCACTTTACATCAGATACGAAAACCTAAGTGATTTTTGCTTTGTGGCATGCTTTTTTCACAAACCACAGATGCATATTTCAAACCAAAAATAGCAGGCTTTCAATTGAATAAAAAATTGCTCGAGAAATGCACATGAAAATTATGGGTTTAGTTGGAGATCGTGTCGCCCACTGCATATGTAAATGAATATTTGTATACAACATTTTCGGTGCACAGGCTATACATGGCACGGTTATATCTGCCACGCAACACAAACTAGCAGTTTATTCTACATTAAGGGGAGCATCCACAGTTGTGAACATTGTATTACTCCAAAATCGATCAATTTCTTTTTCACCTGTGGTGGAATTTGGTTTATTCCACTTAAATCTCCATCTTATTGTTGATCATTTAATACTTAACCCATAACTTTGAATGGAAAAAACCCAAAATGAGCTCAACAAATTATTTGAACACTGTTACTCAACTGTAGGAGCCAAAATTAGTTATTCCCAGTTTTTAAGACATCCATTTTTACTGAATATCAAGCTTAGCTAAAACTACAAGACCGGTGCAATCATCCAATCACACCACTGAATCGGTTGTCTCTCTCACGGCGCAATGATTGATGTCTTCTTCCAGCGTTAGGTAAATAGCTTTTCAGGGGTTAACTGCACTTCTCCCACACATCTCGTATTAGGGAGAGCTCCTCTTGATTAATGAAGAAGAGCCTAGCCAGTGACAGTTAACTGAAGACAGAGCCGCCTTCTGCTTTAGATTTATGGTTCCCCAAGGTCTGGCAGTAATGGTCAGTCCTCATTGTTTAAACGTGTGCTTCCATCACGTAATGCCACTAAACAGGCAGAACTAACTGCAGACAACAAGTCCTCAGTGCCCATTTAGCTATTTAAGGCTGATTCTTTTAAAAAGTTTGGAAGGGAAAATGAAATCTGTCTGAGTCCCCAAAGTGAATTTGATTATGGTAATGAGGTCTTGGAAGAAGGTTGGGCCTGGATAGAGTCATGTCCTGGATGCTTTCAGCTGCAATAAACCCACAATGACAACAGATGGAGCTGAGGGTCCCCTGGGCTCATGTTGCTGATAAAACCTGGAGAGTAAAAAGCCTCCTCTTATTGCTTTTCATCCCTCAGATATACCAGCAAATTAATAATAGTTATCATATCATCATAAAAGCTTATTTTAACACAGAAATGATCAGAGAAACATAGAAAAGATTAAAAGAAAATCCTTGTCAAACTTTAAAAGAGGAAAACGGTAACATTAAATACAAAAGTGAACAAAAGTACAAAATGAAGTAAAACTTGCTACACTTTATTAAAAACATGAGGTGTGCTGTCAAATATATTCATACACTTTGAATTCCTTCTTATTTTCTACAGTATCTGCACAACAGCAGCCTTTTCATTCCACATTTGTGCATGTGGGTGTTTTGCTCGCCCTTTGTTTTTTTCGTTTTTGCTTCGTTCTTGAATATTGTTTAGATCCTTGTTTAGTTGGTTTTGGATTTCTGTCTGTATTCCAGTTACTTATTAGTTGGTAGTCATGTTTAAATAACTACTATAATCTTGGCTTGTTGAATCAAATTATGAAATAGTTGTCCAGATGCGAGAACAAATAAAGCTGGGACTAAAGTTTGGAGTGGGCCATCTGTGCTGAAAAGTTTCCTTCAAGAAGTGAGAATAGAGTCCTTTTGTCTGCAAATGAATGCACTCTTTGATAAACTGTGGCTCTCCCTTGGTATTAGACGTCCACTTTTGTTAAAAGAAATTCAAAATTGGCTAGAGTGCTATTGTACTGACTTCACTTATTTTTCTATGGCTCTTACGCTGGATCGTCAGGGGAGTTTTATCAAGGATACCAACAATAAAGTGGCCTGTGAAGGATGTCTGACTTAAATAACTGTAGATTTATGACAAAAGTAAGCGCTTTTCTCTCAATAACTTAATATTAGTTTTGTTTTTTCTTTACTATGTCTCAGGGTGAGGGTGTTTGACCTAAGATCCGGCTCTTCTGTCGCATCTCTGTACGCCCACCACTTGGGGGTCACCTCTGTGCAAGCGGATGACTGGAAGATTGTGAGCGGCGGAGGCGAGGGATTGGTGTGTGTCTGGGAGATGAGGATGGGAGCGAAGCTATGGGAGATGCACAACAGGTAGGACTGTTTTCAGTGCAAACGGTCAGAAACACTAAAAAGATATAATTGCTTTTTTAAACATGTTATTTCTGCTGTATCACATTATGAGTTTGGTATTTGACTCTAACATTGTAGTAAATGTAGTTCCTCATTCGAACACATTTAACCAGTGATTTTGATTACTCTGTTTTCTTCTCATTTCAGTTTCTTGTGCCACAGTTAACGTAATCTTCTCACATAAATGTTTTTTATTTCATGTAAATTAAATTGCTTAAGACAATATTGTGGAGTCAGTTTAGTATCACACTCACATCTCCAAACAGTAACTGTCATTTTTGTGGCGCCTTCACCGCGTAGAAAACATTCAGCATCTTAACTGACATCTTTTGTAGATGCTACGGTAGTGGATACATCCATCAGCGAAACGCATGCTGGCAAGAATGAGAGTTATATATTTAATATTCAAGGTGTTATCCGTCTTTGCTGCAGGCATCCTGTAAGGCATGTGCGCTTCAACACCAGCACTCTGGTAACAGCCAACATCCCTGATGACAAGTCGCCACGGGGAGCTTGCATCACAGATGATGACCTAACAGCTCATCGCAGGTCGTGATCTCCCTCCTACACTTTTTTTTTTTTTGCCTGGATATCTTCTATTCTTCTATCTCCTATAAGTCTCTTGTACAAAAGCTGGGATAGGCTCCAGCCACTATGCAACCCTGATAAGGACAAGCAGAAAAGAATGGATGGTTGATTTCTTTTGAGAAAAGCGATACAGCTATCATTTCTGAGTCCTCAGCAACCTGTTTTTCAACAGGTTGCCGAGGACCTTCATTAGCAAGAAGGTAGTCTCACTCTAACCAGAGGTAGCAAAAATCCTTAGGTGAGATCATGTTTTTGTACAGAACAACAGTACCTTCTTTTAGTAAGACCTTACTCATCATCACCTTACCTGTAATTTGAGAAATCTGTCTGCCTATGCTTCTGTCTGTTCTTGGTAGGTCTATTAGTGGACACACACACACACACACAAACACACCCTGTGTCTTTGTTAGGATGAGCATTTTTTCACATTTGAGCTAAAGCGTGTTACCAGCATCTCCCCAAAAATGACTGCTGTGTGGCTGCGTCGCTCAGACAAGCACGTTTGTTGGGCTATTTTTGTGAGGAGATTCGCTGTTAATGTAGTCACAAACTCTAACATAAATCTAATTCGTACAGGCCTTTTGAATGGGTATGGAAAAAATGACAACTGGACAAACCGTTTTACAATGTTTAGTCACAATCAGAGAGATGCTAGACATGTTTTTGTAACGTCTTTGGCTTCTTGTGGCTTCCTTCAGTCACTCACTCATGTTGCTTGGCCAAGCATTTCTTCAGAAAGCTGCAGTCTGCCCTGAACACACACAAACAATCATTAAGTGATTGTTATCCCATATCCACATTTAAAAACAGTAATTTATGATTTCCTGGAGATGATGCATTTAGGGGATAAATGAGCTAAACTGCACGTCTGCCGTTTTGTCTCAGTCTTCTAAAGCCTAGAAGACAGTTTTTGTTACTGATGTCAGTGTTTTGTTTTTCTAAATTTCAGACACAGAGGAGTCATCTGCCACTATGACTTCTCTGAGGACGCCCTGTCACAGGATCACATCCTGCCCATCTGCAGGTCTGACTACATAGAGTCTTCTGGCTACAACTACAACATCAGCCTAGCAGTGCCTTACGACAGGCTGTCTGGTTCCCATCCGTCCCAATGACACGCAGTTTTCCAGACTGCAAATGGACTTAATTGACTGCAATTGAAAAGACAGTAACATTTATCAGTTTGAACCTTTAAACTCTGTCCTTTTATTTAACAGGTCCTCTTTCATCATCCTGATCAAATCAAGGCTATTAAAATGTAGTAGTGTTTGTGTATTGTATATATCTGTTGCATAGGTATCTCTATGTTATTGTTGAATCTAGCTGCCCGATGAAACACTGGGTTTGATGTAGTCCAACATCACAGGAATAAAGTCATTTTTACCTCATTTATGCAAATCGTTTTAATATTTTTTCCTATTAAAAAAAATGTACACAAGCATTTTTCTTCACATTTATTTTGTTTATTAATAGAATTAATTGAGAGGGCTGTCAGATTTCACCTTAGAGAAAGTACACTCTCCCATATACCAGTAATCAAGAATAGTGCATTTTTCTACAGTACATCAGTAGTGGTTGGTTACACAGAGGAACACAGCAAAAAGAGCTATTCTGGAGCTACAGAGGAAATGGTGTGTGCCTGCAGCATCTCACTTTGGATGCCATAACAGTTGACCCATGAATGCCACAGTAGCCACTGAGTTAAGCTAAAGTGAAGATTCTCTCTAGTATAAAGAAGCCCTCACATTACCTGCTGGCTGCAGTGGAGCTTGTAGAATAGTTGTAGTGCTAAGAGACTGGTGTGTGTTGTGACCGAAGCCTAAATATAAACCTCACTGCATTCGTTCATACTAGCTATTTTTCAGATAATAAAACATAAAAACTGAATTCTTAAAGCTTAACTGAAGAACTCTAGAAAGGCACAAGTGACATGCAGTCTTTAAAACTGGCATGAAAACGAACTTACAGCAGTGTGTTACATTTATTTAGCATTTTTTCCTGTTCAAAAATATATTCGTTTGTCTTTATATATTTATTTATATCAGACGTGGCTGGCTTCATTCCTTTTTAGGACTGGTGACACTGTGCTAAAACAGCAGCAACATAAACATTTCCTTACAACAACAACCCAATCAAGAGCTTAATTTCCCACAACGCATTGTTGCTGTGTTCATGTCCAAAAAGCGAATGGACATCCTGGACTCCATTTCAATGCCTTTTAAAATCTGTGGGCAGAAAACATTGAAAATATTTATCCATCTAAATCTAATATATAGATATATCTGCATATATAAGGTAAGTGCAAACCTGTTCAAAATGCTCAAATGTGATTCCTTCATAGAAATCATCCGGGGCCTGGAATGAGACCAGTGACTGTGTTACTTCGCTGCACATGTGCAAATTTCTTGTAACAGTTCAGCTTTGGTGAGTTCTCTCACCATGTGGGGCACATTTGTGCTTGCCACCTCCAGCATGGCAGCATCTGCTATCGACCTGGCAACCTCGGTCTCAATGGCTCCGCTTTGAGACAGCAGCTCCTCTACCACCTTGGATGTGAACAGAACATTAAAAGTCGACTCCACACGATGATTTCCAAATACAGTGAGAGGTAAGAAACTCAGCTCTTATATTTTAAGAATGGTATTCGCAGCCAATCAGCTCGCTTCGATTAAGTGCCCAAAAATCCACATGGATTTATATTAACAGTCTTTGTGATAATCTGTAAATCTTGCTTTAACCCAACTTAGCATCTGGGTTAATTCTTTGCAAGTATGAACAGTCTTTTGAGCTATTAAACTCTAACTTGTTCTGCAGTTGGTTTACAGTTAATCGCGTATGTGTCACAGCATGTGCCTACCATGTTATTTTCACACGAAAATTAACGCTGAAGATGGCTGAAGAATACTGTATGTTATATGTCTTTATGTGCTTTGGCTGATAATGCTGTTTGAGGGCCATGTGGGTGTGTACAGACTGGTTCAGTCAGGCTTTCAGTGCAAGGCATTTTAAATCTTTTGCAACATTCGCTGATGAGTCGTCTTAAATATAATTTCAAGGAGATTTCTGCTTTTAAACTTGAGATGTACATTTAGTCATCAACATTTCCACAGTCAAGCCTTTTAATACAAAATACTTAAAGTACATACACGTTATGTGCATGTGGCATTGTTTTATAATGCTGCCTAGTGTTTAAAACAAGGGCCAGGCGAGTTTCAGTAGAGTATATGACCTAGTCTGGTTATCTTAATCCCTGAAAAAAAATGTCAACACAAATAATTAACAAAAGTTCCTCAAGGGCACTCACATACTATATCAGAACTGCTGAGGAAAAATGCATTTGTAAGTTCTGGTGAAAGCCAGCCCTTCAGATTTTCTTACACGCAAGGAGCTACGTCATAGCCATAGTAAGCACTAGTTAAATTAATAAACTATTAAAAAAAGGTGCTTCATTTACAATCTCCCTTGATTACTCCATCCTTTATAATAGGAAAATAGATAACGCCGTCCCACAATTCAAAGTGACACA